TGCTCTTCCTTTCCTTCTCTTTGAGGCAGTTGGGGTTAAGTGACTTGCCCAGGGTCACACAGCTAGCACATGTCAGAGGCCCTGAACTCAGGTTCTCCTGATACCAAGGTCATTGCTCTATCTGCTGAGCTACCTAGCTGCCTCTCAATTTCCTGCCTTTTTAAAACTGGGGATAAAGTGCCTTCCTCCCAACAACTCTGGAAGATAGGTAGTATTATTACTGTCATCCCTAGCAAGCATTTAATAAATGCTTTTTTTTGATCGCTTAATTCTCATTTTACAGGTGAGAAAACTTGGCATTAGGTGACCTACACAGCAGGAAAGGGAGCCACAATTGGTATTCAGGTCTCTTCTGGCTATGCTGTTCTTACTGACTAAGGCTCCAAGCCAGTTGTAGAGCATGTTGTCTTTTAAAAAGAGGGTCTTAGAGAATGGATCTCTAATAGAAGAATGCCAAGAACTATGGCACTCCTCACGACCTGGCTCAGTTGAGAAAAAGGCTCATTTGTGTCTATGGGAGGAACCTAGAAGGTAGTCTCCTACCTGCTACCCTTCCTTCTTACTGTCCTCACCTAATATCCAGTATAGCACCATGTCTGGGACCTCCTGGAGACAACATCCCTTTCTTTTATTGTTTGACTTATTTCATGGGATATGGCTTTCCGTGGAGGGGAGGAGGAAAGCTATAAGCCAGAGATGCTTAACCTAGGGTTCATGAACTTAGTTGTTTGTTTGTTTCTTAATTTTGATTTCATGTTTCACCAAACTGCTGGAGAGATAAATGACTCAGAAAGGGGAAGACCCCTTGTTAATAATAGATATTATAATATGTAAATACTATAATAGATTATGATAATATAATAAATAACACCTGTGATAGATAGATATAGAACTGGGAGTGACCTTGCTGGACCTGGAGTGAGGAAAACTTGATTTCATATCCTACTTTAGACACTTATTAGCTCTGTGACCCTGAGCAAGTTATTTGACCTGTCTGCCCCAGCTTCCTCATGTGAAAAATGGGGATAGTAATAGTACCTACATCCCAGCATGGGTGTGAAGATAAAACGAGATGATGTATGTGAAGCACTTTGCAAACTTTAAAATGCTATATAAATGTTAGCTATTACCAAGTCTAACCCCCTCATTTGAAAAATGAGGAAACTGAGATCCCCAAGGAATGAATGCCTTGCCCATGGTCATGCAGGTAATATCAGAGGTAGGATTTGAATCCAGATCCCCTGATTCTTGTCTTTGTTTTTTCCACTATGCCAAGTTATATGACTCATGGTGAGAGTTTTAGACCAAATAGGGGAGGACAGTACCAAAACATGTACTTTGAGGGAGAGACTTTGAAGCAGGTGAAAGCTTGTTGGGCAAGGCCTGAAATCTTGGTACTGAATCAGTTGTTAGAAGTTACCAAAATCAATTAGGAACTAGGAGGAGCACAGACCTCCTTGCAAACATGGGGTAGAGGGGCCTTTAAATTTCTAAGAGTTCGCAGAGCTCTTAAAGCCTCAGTTTTTGTCACATAATCATAGAATTGCTGAGCCATAGAATATTAGGGCTGGAGGCAGCCTTGGAATCATAGAACCATACAATGCCGGACCTGGAATGGGACTTACAAGACAGAATGCTGGAAATGGTACATGGAATATTAGAGTTGGGAGGGACCCTGAAATCATAGAATCATAGAATATAGAATGGGGCTTAGAAAATAGAATATTGGAGCGTACGACATTGGAATATAGAACATAGAATGTTAGAACTGGAGGGGGCCTTGGAATCATAGGAACATAGAATTCTAGTCCCAGAATGGGGCTTAGAAAATAGAATGTTGGAAGATAGAACATGGAACGTCAGAGCTGAGAGGAGCCTTGGAAACATGGAACCATACATATGAACAAAAGAAGGAAGGAAGGAAGGAAGGAAGAGCAATAGGGAGCCGGAGAACTGGATTCTACCCCAGACTTGTTACTTGCTACTTTTGTGACCTTGGGCAAGTCACTTAAACTTTTTCTTAATATGGGAAAGGAGTGGGTTTGGCCTGATGGTCTCCAAGAGTCCTTTCAGCTCTAAATCCATAATCCTATGACCTATGAGAAAAGGATAACAATATTTGCCCTTCATACCTGCCTTATAGGAGAGTCATGAAGATCAATTCAATCTAATTCAGCAAGCACTTATTCAAGCATCTGTAATGAACATTTCAATCCAACAAATATTTATTAAACACCCACTGTTTGCAAGGTGTTATATTAGGTGGTGAGGATACAAAGACTGAATAATATAGACCCTATCCTCATTAAGCTTACAAAGCATGGTGGTAGGTGCTGGGGATACAAAGATGAAAAATGACACGGTGCCTGCCCTCAAGTATACTACACAGCAGAGTGAGGTGGAGGCAAAGGAGAGAAATCCAAAGTACTCTCAGAATATTGGAGGAGGAGGACACTATGAGTTAAAGCTCTGTGTAAAGATAGTTGAAGTTATTGACATGAAAGTCCTCTGTGAATGTACAGGAAGTAGCTGGCATTTACATATTATCTCATTTGAGCCTCATATAAATCTGTGAGTTATGTATTGCAGGTATTATTATTGGTCCCAATTTAGTAATAATAATAATAATAATAATAATAATAACGGTAATAATAATGGTAAAAATTATGTAGCACTTTTAGGTTTGCAAAGCACTTTCCTAATATTATCTGAGCTTATCCTCATGATAATCCTGGAAGGTAGGTGCTATTATCTCCATTTGAGAAAGGTTAAGTGATTCCTCCAGGGTCACATAATTAGTAAGTGCCTGAGGCAGAATTTAAATTCAGGTCTTCCTGACTGCACCTATTTATTGACTGTACCACCTAGTTGCCTCTCAGAGAAGTTGAGTTTTAGAGTGTTTAATAATAATAGCTAACATTTATATAGCCCTTACTATGTAAAAGGCACTGTGCTAAGTACTTTACAATTATTATCTCATTTTATTCTTACAACTGCCCCGGGGAAGTAGGTACTATTATTATTTACAGTTGAAGAAACTGAGGCAAATAGAAGTTGAGTGACTTGTCCAGGGTCACACAGCTAGTAAGTGTCTGAGGCCAGATTTGAGCTCGGGCCTTCCTGACTCCAGGCCCAGCACTCTATCCACTGCAAGCAAGAATCAGAAGCGGGTCTTGAATCTAACCAAGTCTCTTCTGACTAAGTCCACCACACTCACTGCATCCTGGTGATGGAGTCCACCACACTCACTGCATCCTGGTGATGGTAATCATATAAGCTGTTGCTATCTCTAAAGTCATAGAATGATAATGGAACTTTGCAGGCATAAACTTTCAGAGGACATAAGTATTAATAAGAAAGACCGGTTACTACGGTCCAGCTAGGAGGGAAACGGGAAGGAGGGGCTAATGCACGGGAGTGAAGATGTTATGCTAAGTGTTCCCCTTGCCTGGATTGCTCTCCCTGCTCATCTCTGCCTCCTGGCTTCCTTCAAGTCCCAGGCAAAATCCCATCTTCTAGCCTTTCCTTATCCACTTCAATGCTACTATCTTCCCTCTTGCCCTTAACTTCCCCATTGTTGGGTGGGTTTTCAGTCTGACTCTTCGTGACCTCATTTGGGGTTTTCTTGGCAAAGGTACTGGAGTAGTTTGCCATTTCCTTCTCCAGCTCATTTTACAGATGAGGAAACTGAGGCAAACAGGGTGAAGTGATTTGCCCAGGACCACACAGCTAGTAAGTGTCTGAGACTGGATTTGAACTCAGGCAGATGATTCTTCCTGACTTCAGGCTTGGCGCTCTATCTTCTGTGCCCCATAGCTGCCCAGTTTATCCCACCAGTTTCTTATTTGTGCATTGTTGTTTCTATGTTGTCTCTCTCATTAGACTGTGAGCTCCTTGAGAGCAGGTGTCTTCTTTTTATTCTTTTATGCCTTTCTTTTTATCCCTAGCACTTAGCCTAGTACCTGGCACATAGTAGGCACTTAGTTAATGCTCATTGACTTGCCCGGACTCAATGATCAATCTGTAATTAAGAGTAAAGAAAGAACTGTGGCGCAAAAGGTAGTCCTCTGGTTTGGGCATCGAGTCCTGACTTCACATCCCACCTAAGACACTTCCAAGCTTGGACTCCGGGCAAATCATTTTAAATCCTGGAGACTCAGTTTCTTTTTTCAGGAATAAATCAAGAATAAAGAAACTTGTAGGCTGATTTTGAGGGAAGTGTTTTGCAAACCTTCAAGTGCTATATAGATGATGGTTATTGCTATTGTTGTTGTCGTTGCCCAATAATGCTGTTTGTCCTTTTGAAGAGGACCAATGGCATCATGGAATGATGTCTTGACTTGTGCGTGAATTGAATTTGAGTAAGGCAGAGTTGCGCAAAGACTGTAATGTGAGCTATTATGCTAGGTGGTGCAGTGGATAGAGCACTGAACCTAGAATTAGGAAGATCTGAATTTAAATCTTTCCTCAGACACTAGCTTGTGTGACCCTTAGCAAATTACTTAACCTCTGTCTCAGTTTTCTTGTATGTAAAATGGGGATAATAATAGGACTTATCTCCCAGGGTTGTGTTGTGAGATAAAATGAGATAATGTTAGTGAAGTGCTTTGCAAATATTAAATAATTATACAACTGCTAGCTATTGTTATCAATTATTGTTGTTGCTGTTATTCTGATGTTCTAAAGATGGTCTACTTGGGGATTTATTAAACAAGTCTCTCCTGCTAGCTTCCATGGTCTTTTAAGCATAGCATTAGATACTTAAGCCCCCCAAAATTCCGGAGAATTCGAATCAAAGTTACTTTAAAGAAGGCGGGGGTGGAGGGATAGGTCCAGCTGGTGTAGTTTTGACACTGGTTAATGTTTATAGCCTTGGGATAGGAGGTGTGGTAGGAGGGGGAGGAGGAATGACCTTTGGTATTAAGATGTCTCAATAAATATTAACCAGCTCCGAAAAAGTAAGGGTGGTTAGAGGTAAGACATAATGATGCACAGGTAACTATACTTCTGGAATCCCTGTGTGGCCTGCAGAGAAGACACCAAGGACTCACAGTGCAGGGGCTGCCTCACTGGCCTGTAAGTAATTCTGACTTTTTTTTTAGAAAACTTCAACTCAAGGCAACCCTGCCTCATCCTTTTTTGTCATTGCTTTCCTCACCTAGGCAGAACTAGGAGGTCGGGAAGAATGAATCTATCTTTCTTTTTCAGGGGGCAGAGGGTGAGATTTTAGAAATCCAGGCCCCATAATGCACCCAGTGAAGAGCTGACAAGGAGGCTACATCGAGCAAGTCCCTGAGAGGGATTTCAAAAGCTCCAGGATCTCTTCTGTGTCTTTCTTAGGAGACAGCAGGACTGGGAGTAAGAGGACCTGGGTTTGAATCCCAGTCTTGTCATGTACCAGCTGTGATCCTGGCCAAGTCATGTTTCCTCTCTTGGCCTCTCTTCTACAAAATGGGGATAATATCTGCATTAACTATTCCACAAGATGGTCAGGAGGATGTAACTTTCTAAAGTACTCACATAAATTTGAATTTTCATTACTTTATGTAATTAATGGCTAGTATGTAAGTTCTCTGGGCATCATCTAAGAATGGTAGAGCACATACCTAGCCCCAGCCAGCTCACTCACAATGCCAGTTGGAGGGTCTGGGATGAAAGAATGTGCATGACTCAATACAATCTCTCTCTCTCTCCTAAATGTGAATTTAAAAGAAAACACCCCTAAAATGTGCACCCTAGTGACAGCAGTTCAGTAATTTTACTTTTACATAGAAGTGGCCCATTACATTGTGTAAGTAGATTATTTGTAGAGTTGGGGAACAAGGAAAACTTGATGATAGTGCCAATAATACTTAAATAATTCAATGCATCTATGATCTCATCAATGTTGGCACTCCCCTCACTAGTGCAGATTGCAACCCATTCAAATCTCCTTACCAATTCAATTCAGCAGACATTTTAAAAATGAATGATGTCATTTACTTTGGCATCACCTTCATTTCCCAACGTATCCCTCCTTTTTTTTTTTCTCTACCCAGAGAGACATCCTTTATGACAAAGTATTAGAGGGGGGAAAATAATTCAGAAAAACTGACCCACATATCAACCAAGTCTGAGAGTATATGCATTGTTCCATAACCACAGTCCCTCCCACATCTACAAAGAAGGGAAGGAAATGTATTCTCTTATCTCTTCTTTGGGACCAATAAATTAATAAATATAAAATAACAATATTTAAAAATTATAATTTTGTGGAATTATTAGCTTTCCATTTAATTTCTAGTTTTAGATTCTATGCCATCAAGCTCAGCTGTCAGGCAAGCTTTAGCACTTGCAGAATGGTTAATGGTTCTGATTGCTTAGAATATTTCTGGGGAATCAGGTGCTTCAGTGTCTGCTGTGCAAACTAAGAAAACTTAAAAGCTAAGCCCAGGAGGTAAGGTCACTGCCTCTCTTCTACCTAGACACAGCTAGATGGTGCAGTGGACCTGTAGGTTAGGAAGATCCAAATTTAAATCTTGTCTCAGACATTACTAGCTGTGAGTCCCTGGACCAGTCACTTAATTCTGTCTGCCTCAGTTTCCTCATCTGTAAACAGGGATAATAATAGCACCTATCTGCCAGGCTTATTGGGAGTCTAAAATGAGATAACGTTTGTAAAATGCTTTGAAAATCCTGAAGTGCAACAGAAATGCTACATAAATGCAACAACAGAGGTGGCCTCCAATTTTGTTCTGCCAATGACTCGAGAGGGGATAACTCTGCTCCAAGTAGGGCTGAGAGAGTAAAATTTGTGTTCTCCATATACCTCATGGACTGTCATGAGAATCAAAAGACATGATACCTTTTAACCCTTTTTTTGTGTTTTGGCTAAGAATCTCTGGTTAAGAGAGGGAAACTATTGTGCTTAAAGATAACACAGATAATAAAATAACATCAATATTAAATAAATATTTAACAACAATATTATTATTTCTAACCACATTTCTGACTTTTCATATATACACATATAGAGACACACATGCACATTCATTATATCCATGTGATATATATGTGTCTATATAAACACATACATGTTTTAGTACAGCCTTTTCAGACTTAAGATACCTATATGTATGTGTGTATGTATATATGTACATATACATATATGCACATATGTAATAGCTATTACTCATATAGCCTCTTACAGTTTACAAATCATATTATTAACAACTCAGATTTATAGAGAGTACTTCAGTTCATAAAGTGTTTGTTTTTGCTTGGTACTGGCTAAGAAATAGAGTGGTGGATCAGTGGAATAGGTGAAATATGTAAGACACAGTAGTCAAAGACTATAGTAATCTATTATTTGATAAACCCAAAGACCCCAGCTTCTGGGATAAGAACCCACTCTTTGAAAAAAACTGCTGGGAAAACTGGAAAAGAGTATGGCAGAAACTAGGCATAGACCAAAATCTCACACCATATACCAAAATAAAGTCAAAATGGGTTCATAATTTAGATACAAAGGCTGATACTGTAAGCAAACTGAGAGAACAAGGAATAGTTTACCTATCAGATTTATGGAGAACAGAAGAAGTCATTACCAAACAGGAGATAGAGAACATTACGAAATGCAAAATGGATAACTTTGATTACATTAAATTGAAAAGATTTCACACAAACAAAGCCAATGCAACCAAGATTAGAAGGAAAGTAGAAAATTGGGAAAGAATTTTTACAACCAGTGTCTCTGATAAGGGCCTCATTTCTCAAATATAGAGAGAATTAAGTCAAATTTATAAGAATCCAAGTCATTCCCCAATTGATAACTGGTCAAAGGATATAAACAGGCGGTTCTCAGAGGAAGAAATTAAAGCCATCTATAGTCATATGAAAAAATGCTCTAAATCACTATTGATTAGAGAAATGCAAATCAAAACAATTCTGAGGTACCACATCACACCTATCAGAATGGCCAACATGACAAAACAGGAAAATGATAAATGTTGGAGAGGATGTGGTAAAATTGGAACACTAATGCATTGTTGGTAGAGTTGTGAAATGATCCAACCATTTTGGAGAGCAGTTTGGAACGATGCCCAAAGGGCTATAAAAATGTGCATACCCTTTGACCTAGCAATAGCACTTCTAGGGCTATATCCCAAAGAGATCACACAAATGGGAAAAGGACCTACATGTACAAAAATATTCAGAGCAGCTCTTTTTGTGGTGGCAAAGAATTGAAAATTGAATCAATATCCAACAATTGGGGAATGACTGAACAAGTTGTGGTCTATGAATGTAGTGGAATACTGTTGTGCTATAAGAAATGATGAGCAGGCTGACTTCAGAAAAACCTGGAAAGACTTGTATGGTCTGATGCTGAGTGAAGTGAGCAGAACCAAGAGAACATTGTACACAATAATAGCCACGTTGTATGATGACTGATATTGACAGACTTAACCCTTCCTGGCAATACAAGGATCTAAGACATATCCAAAGGCCTTTGATGGAAAATGCTATTCACAAAGAAGAAAAAACTATGGAGTCTGAATGCAGAACGAAGCATACTATTTGCTATTTTTTTTCTTCTGTTGTGTTTTGTTTCCTCTTTCTGGTGGTTCCTCCTATTGGTTTTAATTCTTACTTACAACATCACTAATGTGAATATATGTTTAATAAGAATGTATATGTATAGCCTATATCAGATTTCATGCCATCTTGGGGAGGGAGGTGGGGAGAGAAGGGGAGAAAAATTTAAAACTCAAAAGCTTATGGAAGTGATTGTTGATAAATCAAAATAAATTAATAAAAAAACAAAAACAAAAAAAGTGTTTGTTTTTTAACTATTTATACCACCCTGTTATTGTTAGCTTACCCTTTTAGTACTTAGATGCTATGCCATTTAGTGCATATTTATTTAATATTGATGCTATTTCATTATCTATGCTGTCTTTAAGCACAACAGTTTCCCTCTCTTAACCAGAGATTCTTTTTTTTTTATTTAGGTTTTTTTTTTTGTTGTTTTTTTTTTTAGTTTTAAGGCAATTGGGGTTAAGTGACTTGCCCAGGGTCACACAGCTAGTAAGTGTCAACTGTTTGGTCTGAGGTCGTATTTGAACTCAGGTCCTCCTGACTTCAGGGCCGTGCTCTATCCACTGCACCACCTAGCTGCCCCTTATCCAGAGATTCTTAACCATAACATAAAAAAGGGTTAAAAGGTATCATCCCTTTTGATTCTCATGACACTCCATGAGGTGGATGGAGAACCACACAATTTCAGCCACCCAGCCCCAGTTCAGCCCCTCTCAAGGACTGGGGCCAATCAATCCCCTATCAAGTCATCAACAGGACAGAATTGGAGGCCACCTCTGCATCACAGCTGTCCCACACATTATTTCCATCCATCCTTCTAGACTTTATTTCATTTGGAGGTCAATGTTGTGGAAGTGGCTCCTGGAGCTCGAAAGTAGTCAGAAATGAATCAAATTACATGAGAAACGACAGCTTGGGTACGTTGGGAAAGTATGCTGGATTGGGAGTCACAGACCCTAGGGTCATATCCTGGTTCTGCCACTTGTTAGTTGTGTGACATTGGAGTCACTTAAGTGACTTGCTGAGTCATGGTTTTTTCATTTAAGATCCAAAAAGTTTAAGAAAATGGGCCTGACCCTTCTTTGATATGAGCAGGATCCCTTAGGCACGGATCCAGGACTTGTGCATGAGTCCAGAGGTAGAAGCACTCCTTAGTAGAGAGAGACAGCATGCAGTGGCCTCGGCCAGTTGTCTTTAGACAAAACACAACTAATCTATGGCCAAATCTTGCTATTTTTACCTGCATCTAGATGGCACAGTAGATAGAGCCACCAGGCCTGGAGTCAGGAAAACCTGAATTCAAATATGGACTCAGACACTTATTAATTGTGTGCTCCTGGGCAAGTCACTTGAACCTATTTGCCTCAGTTTCCTCAGCTGTAAAATGGGGATAATAATGGCACCTACTTCCCAGGATTGTTTTTTTTTATTAATTTATTTTGATTTATCAATAATCACTTTCATATGCTTTTGAGTTTAAAATTCTCCTCCCCCTTCCT